TCCATGTTTAAATTTATTTACTTCAACTAACACTCTCTGTTTGTTGTTTTTGTTGAGCACCAGGATGATGGCTTACACTATCGACAACCATGGGTGTTTGGTGTCAAGGAGGAGCTTGAGAAGTTGACAAAGCGAGTGGAGGAGGCTGAGAAGGTTATCAATGTGGTCTCTACCATCAACGATCAGATAATCTTCTTGGAGGTTAGTTTAATTTCTTTGCTTCTTTTGTATTTGATTTAGTGTTGTTTATGTATACTTAACATCTAGATATCGTTTATGTGTTTGTAACACTAATTATCGTTTATGTGTTTGCTTGGCCAGGAACAAGTTAAAAACCTCCAAGAACAGGTTGATTACATGGCGGTACGGATCGCTGACCTAGAGAAGATGTGCTTCGATTAAAAACACAAGGTAAAATTCAAAACAAAACTTAAGTTATTTGTTGTTTGTTAAAATTTAAAAATAAATTGTTGTACTTGTGATTAGTAAAGTAGGACTGTCATTGAATGTTGTACTTGTTAAAACACCAATTAAGTTCTGAACTAGTTCTCTAGTTCAGAAGAAAACTAAAAGCTAACCTTGAAACAAAACTAGAGTTCGTTGTTTGTTAAACTAGAAGAAAAGAAAAGCTAAACTTAAACAAAACTAGTATTCAAAGCTGAACTAGTTCTCTAGTTCTGATTACAAAAGTAAACTTAATTTGAAATATTAATATTTTTTTAATTATTGGTTTTCAGTTTGGTTGTTGTCTGTGATAAATGGTTGCTTTTAAAAGCACACTGATTTGATTGGTAACCAATTCTAGCTGAGAAATTGTGGTTGTGCAATTAAGTGTAATGAATGTTTTACAAAACTTAAGTTTGTGTTTAAAACCAAGACGAATCCTGTGAAAACCAAATCACTAAAAACACCAACCAAAACATGGATCCTTTTTCCTTAAACTCCCACGGCTTTGTTAACTTACTGTGCTCACAGAGCAGTCCACCAATAGACGTGGACTGTGGTGAAGTAGGTAGTAATTCCCCGGGGCTAGTTAAGCCACTGCAGAAGAGAAAGTGGTCAATCAAAGAGGACCTTGTCCTCATCTCTGCGTGGCTTAACACTAGCAAGGACCCTATTGTCAGTAACGAACAAAAGGCTCAGTCTTTTTGGAAGAGAATTGAAGAGTACTTCAATTCTAGCCCTCAGCTGAAGGACAACGTTCCTAGAGAGCGTGGTCAGTGTAAGCAGAGGTGGGGTAGAGTGAACGAGCAGGTCTGCAAGTTCGTCGGCAGCTATGACGCTGCTTTGAAGGATGTAGGGAGTGGCGAAGGCAATAATGATCTCATGAAGAAAGCACATGACATCTTCACCAACGACTACCAGGCCAAGTTCACCATGGAACACTGTTGGAGGGAGTTGAGGTTTGATCAGAAGTGGAAATCCTCGGCTATGCCGGCAAAAGATGGTGGCAAGGAGAGAAACAAGGAAGCTCCGGAGGAGATTCCACGGGAGGAAGAGGCTAGGCCTCCTGGTGTTAAAGCCAGCAAGGCTGCAAAACGCAAGAAACACACCAACGAAGCTGCTTTTGACCAAATAGAGAACATTCTAGCTGAGAAGAGGACCATATCAAGGCAGAAGCTCCTGGAAAAACTCCTTGCCAGAAATGACTCTGATCTCTCGGCTAAAGAAGTGGAACTAAAGAACAAACTCATAGAAGAAATGCTATGATTCATGTATTAGGCTTGCTTGATTTGTTTTTTGCTTGATTGTTTTTTGCTTGATTGTTTTTTGCTTTTCAAATGCAATGATTCATGTATTTGTTTTTTACTGACATTATTAACTCAGTTTCTTTTCTTGTTTTGTTGCAGGTCACGGGTTGGAGGATGCAGGTGAACGAGGAGTGTGGTTTATTGCAGGGCACGGGTAGTACTTTCTCTTGGTAGGGTAGCTATGTATGACGGATTGATGATCTCTCTTTTGTGTTTTGTATTGAGAGATCACGGGTGTAGTGTAGGTCAGTATGATGGCTGACGGGTGTAGTGTACAATTTTGTTGTTATGTACACCACCAGACGATGTAAAAGTAGGTCCCTATGTAACATTTTGAACTTGTTGTGAGCTATATAAAGCAGGTGCTTGTTTCATTTACTGGTGTACAACACCAACTCTTTTCTTTACAAAAACTCTTTTGCTTCATATCTCTCTCTTTTTTTTGTACCATTTACGACAAGATACACCAAGTTAAACAAAGAAGAACACATTTGACAAACAAGAATTATCTCATTCAATACAGGTTTTGGTTTGAGTCATTGCTAATTTTTCTGAACTTGTATTTCTTAAGATTTATCTCATTCTTGAACTTGTATTGCAATTGTTTTCTCAAACTTCATTTAAACAAGTTCAAAATAAGTCTAGATATTTAGAATGTTAAACAAGTTTTGTCATACTTTAACAATCTTTAGTGTTTTTACAAATCAGGACTTAATAATTCCTAATTACTTGTTTTTAAAAAAGCTTTAACAATCTTTAATGTTTTTACAAATCATTACTTAATAATTCCTAATTACTTGTTTTTAAAAAAGCTTTAACAATCTTTAATGTTTTTAGAAATCATTACTTAATTATTCCTAATTACTCGTTTTTAAAAAAACTTTAACAATCTTTAATGTTTTTAGAAATCATTACTTAATTATTCCTAGTTACTCGTTTTTAAAAAAAGTTTAACAATCTTTAATGTTTTTACAAATCATTACTTACTTATTCCTAATTACTCGTTTTTAANACAATCTTTAATGTTTTTAGAAATCATTACTTAATTATTCCTAATTACTCGTTTTTAAAAAAACTTTAACAATCTTTAATGTTTTTAGAAATCATTACTTAATTATTCCTAGTTACTCGTTTTTAAAAAAAGTTTAACAATCTTTAATGTTTTTACAAATCATTACTTACTTATTCCTAATTACTCGTTTTTAAAAAAAATTTAACAATCTTTAATGTTTTTAGAAATCATTACTTAATAATTCCTAATTACTTAATAACTCCTAATTTCTTTGATTGTAGGAATAATTTCTTACTCATCAAGTGATCAAGAAAATGAAATTTTCGAAGAAATGGTGGACCAACAACTGGATGATTTCATCGACTCTATTGTTGACGTTCAAGGGACCAAGCCAAAGAGACGTTACATAGAAAGAGATCGGGAACAAGGACACAACCAACTATGGAACGACTATTTCACTGAGAATCCTACATACACACCTCAAATGTTTAGGAGGCGTTTTCGAATGAACAAGCCTTTGTTTCTTCGCATTGTCGATCGTCTCAGTAATGAAGTTCCCTACTTTGAGCAAAGAAGAAATGCTCATGGAAGGTACGGACTTTCTGCACTTCAAAAATGTACTTCAGCTATACGAATGCTGGCATATGGTCAATCCGCAGATTCAAATGACGAATATCTCCGGCTTGCGGAAAGCACAGCCCTTTTATGTCTGGAAAACTTCAACGAAGGAATAATACATTTGTTTGGAGATGAGTATCTAAGAAGACCTACGGCAGAAGATCTTCAACGATTACTCGATGTTAGCGAGATTCGCGGGTTCCCAGGGATGATAGGAAGCATCGACTGTATGCATTGGGAGTGGAAAAACTGCCCAACTGCTTGGAGAGGGCAGTACACACGTGTTTCAGGTAAGCCGACAATTGTCTTAGAGGCCGTGGCATCACATGATCTTTGGATATGGCACGCATTCTTCGGATTACCAGGTACCCTCAACGATATTAATGTTCTTGACCGGTCACCATTTACAAGGTCGAGCTCCGAAAGTTAATTTCAAGGTCAATAACCACAACTATCGTATGGCGTACTACCTTACCGACGGTATTTATCCTAAATGGTCAACATTTATCCAATCCATCCCACTTCCTCAGGGGGACAAAGCACAGCTATTTGCTGAACGTCAAGAATCAACAAGAAAAGATGTCGAACGGGCTTTCGGAGTATTGCAATCAAGATTTGCAATCGTTAGAAACCCAGCTCTACTATGGGACATTAATAAAATAGGAAGGATTATGAGAACTTGTGTCATACTCCACAACATGATAGTAGAGGACGAACGACATTCATATACTCTCTATGATACCTCTGAGTTCGAGACAGGGGAGTCAAGCAGAAGTGCTGAGGTTCAAACGACAACATCTTTGAATGCCGGTANGCTGATTTGGTCGAAAATATTTGGCACAAGTTTGGTAATCAGAATTAATAATCTTTTGTATCTTCACGAATTATCAATGTATTGAATAAAAACTTTCATAAAATCAATAAAAATTTTAATTTCTATGTTTTTCACTTCTTCAAAAATTATTTAATTATTTTTCTGGTCAAACATTCTAATTATATTCAATACATTTTTTTTTAAAAAAAATATTAAAAATATTTCAAAATAAAAAAAAATATTATTTTATTCCTATGAACCCCAACGTCGGGTTCATTGATGGAAGAGAACATTTGATCCGGGTTCAACACTATTCATGGTCCCACCAAAAAAATAATAAAAAAATTTTGTGAATCCCAAAGGGGGTTCACTAATGTGGTTGCTGTTAGCGTTGTTCTTTAGCGGGAAAGTCCCACTTGTTTTTAACTACCGAGTCTCAACCTGATTCAGGATGAGAAGACAAGTTCCAAAATAAACAATAAGAACTATTCCGCCACGAAGGAGCCAAACTAACTAAACTACAACATAGTTTAATGATAAGACAAGTACTTTGTGATCCATCCAAGTATGTGATTTGACCGTGACTGAAGTTTTTGTCAGGACTCAAACCAATTATCTCATCTACGTCCATATTTGTTTTCTCAGACAGACTCGATCGGACCAAGGCGGATAATACTGAATAGCACGACTGAAATTTTCAAAATACGATCTTCCATTACGTACATATATACATGAACCAAACAAAATATTATTTTAGGATTTACATGTGTTCAACATTGAACCAAAATACATCTATAAAAAGCCACTCAAAAGTCTATAATACATGAAAAGGAACGTATAGTAAAATAAAAATAAAAAACATACAAGAAAATAACGTTGCATGCAAAAAATAAAATGTGAAAATAACAAGAGAGAAACAACCTTAGCTAATACCTTGGAGGAGAGAAATACGTGGAGAATGGAGATAAGAGGCGTCTCGGGTTAAAGAGGGACACATGTCTCGGGGAAGCTATTCCGTCGATTTGGCGGTAATCGGAGACGTTGATAAAGCCTTCCCTCTCGTCACCGCCGGTTCTCCTTCCCGGAGACCTTCCCGGAGACCTTCCCGGCGATGAGCTCAGGCCGTTAAATGTCTGGTACTTGACCATCTTACCAATGCCCCAAAACTTGTTCTTCGTCGAAGTTTTCTTATAAGACTCGGTCATCTTCTCGCTCATGTACTGCTTCACTGCTTCCAAACCTTGTTCCACCTGTTGCAACAAATCATCAAACAAACTTTATTATATTTATAATAATGCAAGATTTTTTGTTGATTTATCCACGTCTCTCAAATTACTTTTATGATGTTAGTTATTTCCGTAGTGCACTAAAGGATGATCTTCGCGTTAACATAACAAATAAAGTATTTTCATGTACATATAATGCTTGCGTTGCTTACCATAACACACTGATTAAAGATCATCAAGCTTAGTTATACTTTCTAATACTAGTGAATATTCTGTTTAATGCGTTTATATTTAAATTCGATGTTAATGCATTAGCTATAACATGTGGCATAGTGGTTTGTATACCAAAATAATAGAAGAATTTATGTTTCTATGGTCAAGTAAGAAAAAAATTTGCGTACCACTTCAAAAGGTGGGGAGACAAGAGGATTTCCCTCGACAGAGAGCTTCTGAATCTGGCGGAGACAGCCTATGGAGTCTGGTAAAACCGTAATTCCGTTATAACTAACGTCAAGCTCCACGAGAGATATCAACAACCCAACGGAGTAAGGTAACTCCTTCAAGTGCTGGAAGTTCTGGCTAACGTTAAGGACCTGAAGGTTCACGAGGTTCTCTAGATCATCAGGAAGCGAGACAAGACGGTTAAGCCTGGCGTCTATGACACGTAGCGACGTCAAGTGGCCAAGGGAGGTAGGTAACACGACAAGCTTGTTTGAGTTCACGGAGAGCTTCGTCAGATTCGTTAACTCGAACCCTATCGTGTCTGGAAGCATGGTTAGTTCGTTGAAGTTGGCGTTCAGCTCTTCCAGCGATCTGCGTTTTTGTCGCATTTTGCGTTTTGGTGCATTGATAATAAGAGAAGTGGATGCGGTTGAAAGGGTCTTACCTGCAATCTTCGATAGTTTTGGGGAAATACTGTAGATTATTTCCGGATACATTAAGAACCTTGAGCTTAGAAAGACATCCAATGGAGTTGGGAAGTGTTTTGAGCTGATTTGAGTGCAAATCTAACGCCCACAAATTTAGCATTCTCGCCACTAGAGATTCAGGAATTTGCTGCATGAGAAACTATATATATGAGTAAATTATGGATATACAAGTATATAATAAATTAAGCTATATGTATCAAGACAATTAATATCTTTTGACAACGGTTGTTTATTTAGAAATTAGTGTTACTGGCACATGACAGATTCAATACAGCCGAGTCAAAGAGAGAAGTAAACGTTAAGATCAACTCGAATTTATGAATAGTTAATGCTCTTCATTATATTTTATTTATACACAACAATTTTGTAACGAAAACTTCAAAAAGAACAAAGATAACGGACACTTGTGCCTCAATTGCTTATTCACCCAGACGAATATGCTTTCCAAGGTTCGAGTTGACCAAGTTCAAAAAATGGGTTAGGATGCCAAATTAAGATGATTTTAAATCTCTGGAAAATTAACATTGGTTTAATCGGCAATACTTTGTGTTGTCTTGTTATGTTTAGTTAATTTCTATTTCCCGAAACAAAACAGGAAATGACAAAAACCCACAAAATAAGGAATACAACGAATCATATGCATATGCATATGCAAGAGGTAGGTTCCTTGCTTAAGTTTCTCTACAATCTTTATCATTTATTTATTTGTTAGTTAGCGAAGCAAATATCTCTTATAGTTTAATTAGAGCCCACCAGTATAAATTAATTTAAATTAGCTAAAGCACAAAGCCCCCAACGAATTGTTATATAGGAGTAGTTGTATTTGTCAACCTCTCCACTCCAGACAAAAACAAAAATCTATTGACCCCTCGACGAAGATTGGTATCACATAAATTGTTTTTCTTCTTTCTACTAATTAAGGAACTGTGTTATAGGTTATTGTCAAGAACCTAATGAAAATTTGTTTCTCAATAGTGACAGAAATAAAATGTCAATTTAAGAAAACTTATTTCCACGAAATTTTAGTCAATGCTATGTAACTAAGGTTGATTAAAATTAGATATATATGTATATATAGATTGGTAAACATGCTAAGAGAATGTATATATATATATATGATCAAACATAGTTATATACCTGAATATTGTTGTTTGAGAGATCGAGTTTTGATATAGAAGCTAAGTTGATAGAAGATGCTGAGAGGGAAGCCATGGACATGCCGCTGAGATTGAGAGTTTTGAGATTCCGTGGACGATCTCCTTCTCTTTCCGTCGCCGCTGCACCACCATCAATTGCCGGTACACTTCTCCTAGTCGTTTTCTTATGTGGACTATTGATCTGTCCCATCTTATTAAAGTTCATTATCTCCGTTGTCGTCACTGTCATCTGATTCATCTGCTCGTAGCCCATCATATCTTCCTATGTGTGTGTGTATATATATATATATTTCTATACACAAAGATGAACCCACAAAGCCAGAGAGCTAAGAGGAAAGAGAGAGAGGTTATGAAGTTGTGTTATAAATGAGTTGAAAACCTATCCTACTTATATGTAATAAATAATTTGCATAGAGAGTTGAAGATCGAAAATGGAAGATATGTACGGATGATAACAGATGGCTTTTGAAACTTGAAATTCCCTTATCTATTACTTTGGCTCTATCTAAATATTTACATAACTAACATTTTTAATGTCAACTTTTCTTTGTTTGTTCTATTTAGTTATAAAACCACTTGCATATTTGTATATATAAAAATAACAAGTTTGCTAATGATGTTGGTAGCTGAAAGAGTATTTTGGTGTTTTTATTCTGACAATGGATATATCAATTTTTTTTTCTTTTTAGACTATTAAGTTTATTATATTTTTTGCAATAATAGTTCAAAAGATTGAAATTTAAAGATAATATACACGTGATAACTATATTATGGATGAGCTTCAACTTATGAAAGAAAATATACATCTATATTCATTAATATAAGTATATTTAACAACCGACCTACGAAATTAAGTACTGCATAGTGCATATATTATGATATATATAATACATGTATAAAGACAGAGGAGTAGTGTACACAAACATAAAGTTATCGGATATGTTAGGACAGATATCTGTTAGAGCTTTGTCATTCATTTTTGTGACACTACAATACATATTGTTATGACAATTTGTCTATTATGGAGTATTAAAGTAGGGCTTTTTGCAAATTTGACTCAAAACTCCAAGTCAAACACAAAACTAACCTCTTCTTTTGACTCATCTTGTTTTTGTCCTATTCACCCCACATCTTCATTTTATTTACGAAAATGCCATTTATATGTTTTTTGAATTTTTTTTCGAAAATGGCATTTTTACTCTCTCAACCTCATCATCTTCAAGTATTTAC